CCCATGAGGACACGTTGCTCTTATTAGAAGCTGAATCCCTTGCATGTTGTTAAGAAGGGGGCCCTCTGCAAATCGTAAATCAAGATCTCATCACTTCCAAATAAAGGAGTCCTAGCCTGCGGTCTCTTTAGAGTTGACAGATATGTTTTTTAAATCCTGTGTTGAGCACGTATTTTTTGTATAATTAAAAAATTATAAAAGTAATAAAAAATAGAAATCTACTGCCAAGAGATTCGAGGCTCAGTAAAGAATCCAGGAAGAGTTTTCTGGATAGTATAAGAATTACAGGGGAAAAAATAAATTCTATGTCCAACTACCAGGAAAAATATAATAGAAGAGAAAAGTGAGTCTATTTAGAAAAAGGAAAAGTAACTTGAACTGGCCCTTAATCTGGAGGTAGTGGGATTCCGCCCAGAGAACTTATCCGGAAGGGGGCACCTTCACCCTTTTTTGCCATCCTGTTTTGGGATTCACGTGCAAAAGGACCAGGAGATATTGCAAATGAGCTAAGTCACCCAAGTTCCTACTGAACTTGGTCTGTCTGAGGGGAGACTGTCCGAAGATGGGGTGGGCTGGGTTGGTGGTCGAGAGAAGGGCTATAGTGGAGGCCTGGAGGAAGTTAACGGAAATAGTCAACAGTCAAAAGGAAAAACATTACACTGTGAGTTTATCCATCCAGTTCTGATGGACCCTCGCCCCTGAGCCCACCTCCTCAAGCTGTTATATTTCTTGCATCTGTTTCCCAGCTGCTTAGGTAGGCGGCACTTTGTAGTGTAAAGGAGTCTTGGGATCTAGAGAGAATCCCAGCTCTGCCATCTTGACCTCGAGCAAGCTACTCTGTGGTTCCGTTTCTTCATCTGTAAAGCAGGGGCGGGGCCATAGTCCTGTCTTGTCATCACTGAGTCAATATGCGGTGCTGAGAGCCCGGGGAAGGAGTTCAGGGAGAGGGCCTGAGTCCACCCTCCTCCTCTCCGTTCCCAGACACACCTGCTCCCACATGGGGCACGGCAGGGCCTTATTTGGAATGAGATTCGTGCTTTCTCTCCACAGTAACAGGGCTTATATTTTCTATAGTCACGGGCATACTTTGCTTCATGGAATAAATGGACACTGGCACAGTTGGTCACAATATTAACTCACAGAAAATGAATTTTTCCATTTTATCCTTCACGAAATCAGAGCCTAAAAGAGATAGTTACGGATCGCTTCCAGAACCCATCTCCTCATCTCCTTCGTGGGAAATACTGCACTTTGCCAGTGTGTGGACGTGTCAGGTCCTACAGTCTCAGAGGTTTTCAAGTTTGTAGCCCAGTTCTGCATAAAATGCATCAGGGACCTCTTTTTTCAATCCTTTGTCTGAAATTCTGTGAAACAAGTTCACTGCAAAGGTGGCCATTCCCGCTTACCTGCCTTCTTTTTTTCTTTCTTTCTTACCTGTATTTTTTTTAAATATTTATTTATTTGGTTGCGCCAGGTCTTAGTTGCAGCAGGCAGGCTCCTTAGTTGTGGGAAGGGGGTTCCTTAGTTGCAGGCAGCACCAGCTCCTTAGTTGTGGCACTTGTGCTCATTAGTTGTGGCAGGTGGGCTCCTTAGTTGTGGCATGCATGTGGGATCTAGTTCCCTGAGCAGGGATTGAACCCTGGGCCCCCGCATTGGGAGCTCGGAGTCTTAACCATTGCGCCACCAGGGAAGTCCCTCTTACCTGTATTTTATTATGTTTTTTTTTTTAAAGATAAGGACTATTTTAGAAATCATAATCACAATATTACCTTGAAAATGAACAATAATCCCATATCATCATCGGATATCCCATCAGTATTCGAATTTTACCAGATGGGATGTGCATGTGTGTGTCCTAACAAGGTCCAGGCAGAGCAGTTGGGGGGTAGGTCTAAGTCTCCTTTAATCTATAGTGTCCCCCTTCCATTTCTTTAATGTATTTCTCCTTGCCATTTATGTATTGAAAAAACTAGATGTTGTGTTCAGTTGAGTTCCTCGTATCCTGGAGTTTATTGGTTGTATCTTGGGTCTGTTTCTGCTTTTCCTGTAAGTTGGTGGACACATTTAGGGTCTTGATCAGACCCCTGTTAGATTGCTGGCAGGAATTCTTCCTGGGCGGTGGTGTGTATACTTCTGTCAGGAGGCATGTCACGTCCGGTTGTCTTATTTTTGTGACGCTAGTAGCCATAATTCATCAGGGGTTCATAATTCATATTACAGTGGTGACATACCAGGTCTTTCATTTTCATTCTTCATCTACCAGTTTGAATACCTTTGTAATGAGAAGCTTCATTTTCTTTTTCTATTCCCCACTTTCCCCAGAAGGCAGCTTATAGCTGTCCTTGTACAGACTGAGAGGCTCTGAGCAACCGCAGCCCTTTGGGCCCAGCCTCAGGCCAGGGTCGGGACCAGACCTGTTCTCATTGCTGTGATTTCCTCTCAGTAACAGCCACCACCAGGAGGCCTCGCCACTTTCTAGTCACATTGTTGCCAGAAAGCATTGAAAGCACATCAAAGAGATGTGGTCTTTGAGGTAAAATTATCTGAAATCACTGATAGGCCAAATCTGACATCCATAGTGACCTTCTTTCTGTAGAATGACAAATCCCAGGAGGTGCTGAACTCCCCTGGGCCTTTAACTCCTCCTGAGTCAAGCTGGGTCATCTAATCACCTAGAATCAGTTAAAGAAGGGAACTTGACAACTATTTCTGATAACGACGAACAAATGATTCTACATTTGAAGATGCTGTTCCTGGTAGTAGGTCGTCCAGGTAGTTTTCTGACTTCCTGCTATATTTTCCCTTATGCTAAAGACAGTTTTACCCTGGATAAAGGGTGAGATTTTCTGTTGCGTGGCTTTGAAACAGTGAAGACTGAGCCAAGAACTCAGTGGTTTTTAAAAATTTTTTTAACATCTTTATTGGAGTATAATTGCTTTACAATAGTATGTTAGTTTCTGCTGTATAACAAAGTGAATCAGTTATACATATACACATATCCCCATATCCCCTCCCTCTTGCATCTCCCTCCCACCCTCCCTATCCCACCCCTCTAGGTGGTCACAAAGCACCGAGCTGATCTCCCTGTGCTATGCGGCTCCTTCCCACTAGCTGTTTTACATTTGGTAGTGTATATATGCCCATGCCACTCTCTCACTTCGTCCCAGCTTACCCTGCTCCCTCCCCATGTCCTCAAGTCCATTCTCTACTTCTGCATGTTTATTCCTGTCCTGCCCCTAGGTTCTTCAGAACCGTTTTTTGTTTTGTTTTGTTTTGTTTTGTTTAGATTCCATATATGTGTGTTAGCATACGGTATTTGTTTTTCTCTTTCTGACTTACTTCACTCTGTATCCACCTGACTACAAATAACTCAATTTAGTTTCTTTATATGGCTGACTAATATTCCATTGTATATATGTGCCACATCTTCTTTATCCATTCATCTGTCGATGGACACTTAGGTTGCTTCCATGTCATGGCTATTGTAAATAGAGCTGCAATGAACATTGTGGTATGTGACTCTTTTTGAATTACGGTTTTCTCAGGGTATATGCCCAGGAGTGGGATTGCTAGGTTATATGGTAGTTTTTAGTTTTTTCAGGAACCTCCATACTGTTCTCCATAGTGGCTGTATGAATTTACACTCCCACCAACAGTGCAAGAAGGTTCCCTTTTCTCCATACCCTCTCCAGCATTTATTGTTTGTAGATTTTTTGATGATGGCTATTCTGACCAGTGTGAGGTGATACCTCATCGTAGTTTTGATTTGCATTTCTCTAATGATTAGTGATGTTGAGCATCCTTTCGTGTGTTTGTTGGCAACCTGTATATCTTCTTTGGAGAAACGTCTCTTTAGAGCTTCTGCCCGTTTTTGGATTGGGTTGTTTTTTTGTTTTGTTTTGTTTTTTTGCGACACACGGGCCTCTCACTGTTGTGGCCTCTCCCGTTGCGGAGCACAGGCTCCGGACGCGCAGGCTCAGCGGCCATGGCTCACGGGCCCAGCCGCTCTGCG